ATACTTTGAGGTATCTTCGTAATAACCTCATAGTATACATGTGCATATTGTGTGCCTAACGATAAAAATATTATCGCGTATAGTAATGATATTCAAAGACATGTCCGAAAAAATATCAACTGTGACATTGTCATTGGTTTTGTTTCGGCCAGGTACAAGATAGGAACTTGAATCCATTTGTGCTTGCTGGAAGAACTTACCGATATTTAACGGAGGTATTCACAATGTTCAACCATGACGGTGATACATCTAAAGCATTTGACAATCTTCAGGTTAGTATATTATAACCTTAAGAATTATTTCACAACTTTGATGTTATATATAATTTTTGCAAGAAAATCGGCGCATTCATATCATGTCTTTGATATATTACAGACATGTGAGATCAATACCAATATGGAAAGTTGTTTACTTCTAGCACTATTTTCTCAGGAAACCGGAAATACAAACTTTCAGGTATTGGAAATAATAGTCCTGTGTCAGTTATTAATCGATAATAAAAAATTGTATTGATATTCAAAAATGGTCTAGATTTTTAATTCAACCTATGTAGTATTTCCCTCCTCAACACTGTAAAATGAGTACACATACATTACATCCCTCACTCACTCGAGGCATTCACTGTTGAAAAAACGGCGTTCAGTCAAACATACAATAACTTGACCTCAAAACATGTAATGTTCTTAGAAATAACCACTAGCTATTCATCTAGCTATATACCTTGTATGTTTAATAAAGTATATTTGTTTATATTCCCCAGCCTCTTGAAGATACAATTGTCGAAACCACAGGGCTAAAGAAGACGGTAATTATCACATATCTCCATGTATTTATTATACTAAAAACTTTTATTATACATTGTCATGTTTTGAACCAGGATTATTTTTACATTTTTAAAGACCATAGAATTCTTCAACAAAGTGAGTGACGCGCTTTTAGTTTCTTGCAAAGACTATTGTGACCGGAAAGATCTACTGTATGCAGTTATTCATCTATTATCCATCCTGTGTGTTTCAAAAGATTCAGATTGTTTGAAAACTCTGTGGTTACTCGTGAATTCCCCCAGCTGTATGCAGGTAAGTGAAATGTTCTAACAATCTGAAAATATGTGAAATTATTTTGGCAAAATCTTCAATGAATTTTTACTTTATATACAAATATTTGACATTCATTGTTTATTTTTCCAAAGCTAACAATACTTTCTATTCTATATATCTATTGCGCATGATTTCATTAGGAAAGTTTTCTGCCAACTATGCCAGATGATGACCTGTATGATGTTCAGCAAATAATGGAAGGATTACAATGGTATAGTAAGTATTGGAAATTCAAGGGTGAAGTTTATATTTCCATAGTAGCTGTGTGTTTATTGACAGAGTGGTAACAATCATTAATAGCATTGAGCATGTGATCTAATATAATTGAATATTCATTTAGTATTGTGTGATATCAGGACGGGGATATGTACTTTAATTCGAGCAAACAACTATTTCTATATCCTGAAATACTGAGCATTCATTTCAGTCATACTACCGTGCACTGTCGACAATTTATGTGTTTTTGTAGCCTGAAAAAAAGATATAGTCAGTATTGATAATTTCTAGATGAAAATGTCCTTAACCTGAACAAATAGTGGTGGTTCAATGTCGATATGCCGCACAAATACAATTTTGTTCATATTTTCATGCGTTGACCTCATGCGTTGAACACTACCCTGTTATCGTCTGGCACAGGGCAACACGGGATTCCAATCGACCAATGAGATTGTGGTATTAAAATAACGGGCAGGTATTTCAATAAACACATACTCAAATTTACTGACAAATTGAATAATTTTCTATGAAACACTGTTTGACACATGTTTGACAATACATGGCAGGAAGTGGTATTGTGCACCACCATCACATGTGCCATATATTACTAAACAAACATATCTTATATTCAAATACAGAGTGCCGCAATGGACACCCGTATGCAATTGGAGAATGTGGAAGGCCATGGGACATCGGGGAGTGTAATATATGTGGCGTTGTTATAGGAGGGCAGCTTCATATGTTATTTCCCGATAACACAAAGGCAAACGTGTATGTTTGTTTTGTGCGTTATTTCATGTAATTTACATTTTTATGTAATTAAATGTATATTGGGGCAAATTAATGAAAATGAATGTAACAGATACAAAACTTGATGAAGAGAAAATACATAGTATAGATGATATAGGTGTAAGCAATATTTACTATTTTGTTGGCAACCAATCAAGTATTGTGTGTTTTAATTGTGTTTTATCAGTGCTAAAAGAAAACTCAATGGTCACATACTTGGAAATGCGTCAGGAAGAAAGGAAGAACATCCATCACCTCTAAGAGATATGCTTTCTGTCTCTGTTGCGGTAATTCGTTTTTTAACGCATAGTGCCATTTTAATTGGTAACTGTTGTAATCCCGAGGTTAGTATTGTCCATATATAATTATTTACACGTGTCTGTCATAAGCATATAGAAAAGTGTAAAATAACTACAACCACACTGCCATTAGTAATCCCTCATAAGGACATACTTCTTACTTGCAGGATGTATCGAATCTGATACACACTGAAAATCCGATTGTTGGGTGCATGGACACCTTTCTTTGGGAACACCTTGAGAAAGACGTGGACCTCTTGGCAACATCTCTCGGAAGAAGTATAGATGATGCCATGCTTGTTCTGCATCTTGTTATAAAGTTTGCTCTCCGGAATACAGTTGAGAAAAATGGTAACAATTGGGGACTAGTCGTGTTTCCACATAATATGGATAATCTAGTCACAATGTCATGTATTCAGAATGTCAGAAATTCAAATCAATTGTATGATATTTTATTTATTCTGCAACAATTATCAGTCGAGGGTGGAACATTTGGGACACAGATGTGTGTTTCTGGTATGTATTACACAAAACATTACAGTATGGAATTGTATTTGTTGTTTATTCATGTGTTTATTTCTAGCACCTAATATAGACTATGCATTGCCAACTAAGAATGACAGAAAAACATGGGAATCATACATTGCAAGGGAAATAATTAACCCGTTACATGAGGTAGGTCTTTACGTACATTAGTTGATAGAGTGACTATGGTAATTAATCCTGTTTTGTTTAGTTAAATTAATTAGTACTTGTCTATGCAATTGACAGAATGTTGAAATGGAATTGAAGAAAGCACACAAGCTGATAATTGAAGATGCATCGGAAGGTAATACTATAAGTAAAATGTTATTTTGACCATCCTTCCTTATATTGTCATGGTATTTTAATAAATAACAAATGATTAAAAACTTGATATTTTTACAACAGATAAGCAGTCATTAGTGCAAGAAATATATGAATTGGACCATACTCCAACTTCAGATTTAAGTCAATCTGTTTACAAGATCCCAGAGTTATGGCGTTACATTCCAGGATTTTCTTTAGAAAATATTGGTGTGATGTTGCAAATGACACAGACCAGAGATAGCAAAGCTGAATCAACAAACCCTATACTATGCAAATTTATTAATGAGGTATGTATCAATCTCGATTTTCTTACGCCTAATATAAATTCGAACAGATTTCATTGTCATGAACTTATGCTTTGTTTATGTACAGGAGTGTCGTCTACGTGCTGTCCAATATCTTCCTGACATCATTGACCTGTACAAAGAATTGAAGAGCATGTTTCATCTGCGCATTTCAACAAAAGAAGCTGATGACCAAACAATTTCACAATTTGTTGACACATTAAACGGTAAACACTCGATTGATGTCATTGCTAGTCGTGTCATTTTCGTCCATCTCGTTTGTCAATTTATTTATAACATAATGACTAAAACTGGTTAAAATTATTCGTAGACTTTATTTTTGTTGTTTGCAGATAACACTGAGTTGACAAAAAATGTAAACAGCTTTTTCAGGGCATGGACTTTATTAAAACCGTACATCTTCAGTAACACACTTGGTAATGTATATTATTTGTTTCTCAGTAAATTATTAGCTAATGCGTTGGTCATGATGACACAGTTTGTGTGCGATCGTATGAAATACTACGACCAAACATAGTTAAATAGTTATTCAGTGCATAGGCCTATATTGTAACATACAAATTAAATGCATGGAAATACACTGAATAATTTAATCATTTTCAAATTCAAACAAATTCAAATAATGTGCAGTACTTTAATGCAATTGATTGTTTTCTTATTTCTAGGACGACCTTTGCCGCGTAATTATCACACTGAGAACATATCTCTGGAAGACACACCTCTATCTATGTTGATTCCATCACGAAGGGGAAGAGGAGCATGTTTCCTATCCTTGGTTGACGCATTGGTTACTGTACACAATAGTTTTCTTGGCTACTGTACTTCGATTAATCCTTCATTGGTGAGGTATGTATAGATATGTTAATATTATAGTAAATAATTAATATTGCACTAATCGTAACACCAAATAAAAAAAATTATATTGAGTTGAAGGAAACCTAGTATATCAATATTATTTCAAGAGCTATATTTATTATTTTATATTCAGTTCAGAGAAAACTGACCTGACCAGCGTCACATCAGCACATATTGTTGCCTATGACTACAGAAAAGATTTAGAGCCATTAATAATGTCACATTGTGATTACGAAGTGGTTGCAGATGAACAAGCAAAAATGCGATGTGACTTCACTGCGTTGGAAAGACAACTTGTCGTTAGATACATCCAGGGAAAATGTAAAATCACGGAAAAGGTAAATACATTATAATTCTACTTAAATATATGTAATATACAGTAACTATATTACCGTACATTGTAAAACATGTGTTATTTATGTTGTTTTTTCAATGTATCATTATGCTAGAATCTGGAGTTCACTTACATTAACGAGGTATGCGGAAGGATGACTTTCGCTAAAGTACGCCAGTTGATTCCACAGGTATGTAATACATGGCATTATCATCTATTAACTTTACTATAATATATCTTGTATATTTGAGAAGTACGTTATTTCACCCAGATAAATGTCTGCACTGCTGTATTTCGCTGAGCTATATGCCACTATATTGTTGATATTTTTGTGTAGTTACCCATCTCACTTGAAGTACAACGCCTTATTATACGTGAATGCCGACACGAACACGGGTTACCCGAAATCAGAAGCTCCCTTGCAGCAATTGATACGGCAATTGGATTTCTGAAGTCATTTGGTGGAAATAAAGATGTCCCCATTCATAAGTACTTACAAGATGTTCTGTTGTTTACAGAGCAACAAGGAATAACTGTGGAACAAGTATGTTAACTTATGAATGAAGCGATGGCGTGATAATTTGGCTTTCTGGATCATACTATTATGTAATCATATGCTTAGTATATGACCGTAATGCTGAATAATGAAATCCATTTATTGCGAATAACATCAGTGGTGACGTTATAAATTAACCGGTGTTGATTGTGCGACAATATATAACTTATGTTCCTTACATAATCTTGTATGTGTGTGCACCGTAAAGGCAACGTTGTGTCATTGGTAATGGAGAGTGATGTTCCACCGTGTACACGCACGTTGAACCAAGTTATAATTGAATAACGTTGGGTTTTTTTATAGGTGAAAATAAGCTGTACCTTAGAGCATATTCTGTCAATCTGGCAGGTACTCTCTGTAGAAAGACTTAACCAGCAAATGATTGCAAGCCAGGCAAACCAGGTAAATACCCCCCACCACCACTTACACACACTATTCATATAGGTGGAACCCTTTGCTGATATAGCGCTTCTGTTGAGTCCACAATATATAACAGAGAAGCAATGTCGATTAAATAGAAAAGTGTATATTCGTACATGCATTTAATTTATAGAAGCGTCCGTCCCTAGAACTAGAGTAGTGTTGTTGTAATTACCCAAATGATTTCAATTTCAACAGCACACCGATGTCTTTGAAGATGTTGAAGATGAATTCAAAGAGCCACTACTCACTGGGATTAAGGTGTCAGAGATTATATTGGACACAGACATTTATATATTGGTGTATGAACTATTTGAATTCATTAAGTTGGAAATATCACATGGCAAACAAACAGATATTCAACCTGAAGATCCGTAAGTTCTAAAACAATCATTATACGATTGTGAATAAAGTTTGAGTCCAGTCCAGTAAGGAGTGTCACACATTTTTCAATTTTTTTTTTCAACAGGCTAGCTGGTCGTTTTGAAAATTTCTGTGCAGAAAAGAACATTAAAATCCCGAGTGTAGACCGCCTTCCTGATGTCATTTTGATGAAGCACGTCACTGAACTATGGCACGCAGTCAACAAACAACACGCACGCCTAGAGCAAAGGAAACTGTAAAATTATGTAATTGTAACTGTAATTTCAGTATTACTAGCGCTTTTGCATATTTTACATATATTTAGAAAAAAGGTAGTATCCATATGAAATTTCATGATTATAGTTATCCCAATATATCGTTTATAAAATTCATGATGAATCTTGAAATGTTTTTTTAACCTTAGGTATGTATGTTTATTTCAAGTAAAATAGTTATATGATCCAGACAAAGTATATTTGACCACCAATTAAGTACTACTGATTATTTGGTTTAGTATATTTGTTAACGATGTAAAGACAGAAATATATTTATCCGGTATTATATATGATGCCTATTACGATATATCAATCAATCAATTAATTTGAATAGTAGTTGTTGTGTAGTTTGCTTTCAATCTATTGCAGTTGATTACTAAAACTTTATTCAAATCAATAACAAACTTAAACCCACTGTTTACTAAACTATGTCAGAAAGCTTCACAATATTATGTTTTTAAGATGTGTGTGTTGTTGACTTCTGTGTTCATTTGATTTTTGAGTAAGAAATATTATATCTCAAAGTAGTTAAATATATTTTGTATGGTGGTGAATGTAGAGTATGCATTATGCAAATGAGTTCACATCTCATTGACCTCTGTATTTGACCTTTATGTTGTATTGTATTCACTACCTGAGCCATGGTGTGATGGCAGCACCTATAGTTGTGTGTAATAAACCAATCCTGTGTAATCCTCTACCTGGTCTAACCATCCTTGATTCTACATGGTGTCAGAAGTGGGATTCGAACCCACGCCCACATTTGTGCATGCATTCTACATGGTGTCAGAAGTGGGATCCTGCTATCCACAACATTACTACACGTATATTTATTATGTATGGTGTAAAGAAAATCTGTTTTGACTGACTGGTAACAAACAAAGACATTCTGGTAAGACACTGCTAAATTTCTTTGTATAATTTCAAGAAGTCTTCCAGTGAGTATTATGGCCGATTCATTTCGAAAACCAAACATCTTAATATTTGAAGGGGATATAGCTGAAAATTGGAGGATTTTTGAACAGGAATATGACATTTTCATAAGTGCAGCTCATGGTGTTAAAACTCCCAAGACAAAAGCATTCATCTTGTTGAATCTTGCGGGTAGTGAACTATAAGAAGGGAGAGGTCATTTGTGTATGCTGCTG